CGTTAATATGTTTTAGCCTCCAGGCCCAACGTGCCTCTAATGGCAAGGGTGAACGATTACACGGTATACACTGCGTTGACTGGATGTCCCGTTAACGTGATGAACATGTCGGTATTTAGTTTGATCAGGATATTAATAAATTTACCTTGTAGACATGACGAAGCAATTGAGAAAATTGCGAAAAGAGCCTACTGAATTGAAAGAATCTCAATAGCTGAAGGAACGAAATATTTTTTTTTACAAAGTATGCACATGCGCTCCGTACAATGGTTTCCACAACTAAGATAAAATAGCAAGGAAACAAATAAAATCTATATACACTTAAACCTCTACTTTTCTGAGCAAAATTTTGTCATTGGCAGAATCTTTCGTGTGTGTGTGTGTGTGTGATTGTGTGTATAATTATATATATATATATATATATATATATATATATATATATATATATATATATATATAGATATATATATAGATATATATATATATAGATAGATAGATAGATAGATAGATAGATAGATAGATAGATAGATATATAGATAGATAGATAGATAGATAGATAGATAGATAGATAGATAGATAGATAGATAGATAGATAGATAGATAGATAGATAGATAGATAGATAGATAGATAGATAGATAGATAGATAGATAGATAGATAGATAGATAGATAGACATATATATGTATATCTATAAAATTATATAATTATATATATATATATATATATATATATATATATATATATATATATATATATATATATATATATATATATATAGAGAGAGAGAGAGAGAGAGAGAGAGAGAGAAAGAGAGAGAGAGAGAGAGAGAGAGAAAGAGAGAGAGAGAGAGAGAGAGAGAGAGAGAGAGAGAGAGAGAGAGAGAGAGAGAGAGAGAGAGAGAGAGAGAGAGAGAGAGAGAGAGAGAGAGAGAGAGAGAGAACCTGTTTCTCAAGAACAGAGTTTTCAAATGGGGGGGCCAAAAATAATGGATTATTGTTAATTAAAATATGATCAAACTCAAATCAGTCAACATTAAATAAAGACCTACTAGAGATTGTTTCCGATTGAGAAAATAAAATAAAAATCATCCATTTTCAGTAAGAATATATACATCTGGGCGAGATTTATAGGCTTTAATCTTTAACCGTTTTTGTTAAAATAGATTAAATAATCACACTCGGGAAAAGCTCAATTGTATGTTATGACACTAAAATATCGCCAGGTCTTTTAGTTCATTATCCTTAACCTAAGAGAGACAACTCTGTTTAACACCACCCCATTCGTCGCTATTGTACAGAATTTGTGCGGCAATTTGATATCAAGTCAATCCAATTTTCAATGATAGATTACAAATATATAAACAAATATGCCAAAGTTTTCAAGTACAATGGAATTGATCCAACCATTTACTAAGCTATCCACTTTCGATCAATAGAAAATCCTTAAAGGATTACAGGCAGCATGGTTCTAAGATATTGATCGGTGCCAGGAGACAGAAAAAAATGTGTGCTTCGTCTATTACCGTCTTGCCGTGATCTTTTATATGATTTTGTCATTAAAACTTATGAAACAGTTATCAAGTTCATGTTAACAAGTTTCTTTTTCGTTGTTGTTTCTATTGTTTATTTTTGATTAATGGAAAGACTTATTTGAAGAAAGTTAAAATCGATGCCTCAGGAAGTTGTCAGCGTTTTATTCGTGATAAAATCGACGTCTTTATAATAGCCCCACAGGAGACATACCGATGAATATCTGATATAATAGAAAGCAAACATTTTCTCAATCTATCTTTTTCAAATGAAGAGTATTAACTTTTTTAATATATGTAATATATATTTAATATATTTAATATATATAATAAGCATTCTTACTACTCTGGGTCTTAAATTATGCAACAGAAAGTAATTGAAACCAGCAATTCAAAAGAAAATGAACTAGCAATTTATTTCTCTACAATACAAAATGAAAATTCAACGGACTATTATAGTACGCAATTAAATACAAGATAATCATAAATATCGTGATATAAGTTTACAAATATAGACTGTTCCGAATGAGTTCAATATTTGTGATTGACCTGATGTAACACGATATAATCCAGAACGTCTTTAAATAAATTATCGAATGTCTAGTGTGTATTATTCCGAAAAGCGAATGACTACATTAGTAATTCCAGTGAATGATTTAAATAACATAAATCCTCCAAATTTTGTCTCACATACCGACCTAAAATAGGAATTATTTTTTGCTGTCAAAATCCATATTTATATGCATTTTCCATTGACCTATAATGTATATAAATGAGAAAATTTCCAATGTGAAGAATCCTAGTCTAACTTGAAACAAGAGTGACCTTGAACTCGTGCTACGAAACAAGGTGCTTACAACACACAGTAGTGGTCAAAAATTAATCACACATATTAAACAACCATAAAGATAAAATATATGAAAGAATTGTATAATGTGTAATGGCCTTCACCGCTTTTGCTTTAATGACAAAATCTTGAGTTTTTCGTCCTTTTAAATGTATTACTCATTATATGCGTGAATAGTTAACTTAGGACATTCTAGTCATTCTGGACATAGACATTTAATCTCATATGCAGTATACATCCATGTCTGTGTTTATAGACATCTAATCTTCTATGCAGTATACATCTATGTCTGTATTTTCAGTTGCGTTGTATTCTGGCAGTTTTCCTGCATTTCAAACTTAGTCACTGAAGTATTTCTTTTCAAAAGTAATGTTACGATTGTTTAATAGCTTATAATTTACGGAGCTAATCTTACATGCTTGATCTGGTACTAAATAAAGATATTCAGTCGGTATTTCTGTATCACGAACCCAGATTGGGACTATGTAAATTCCGCGAGTACGTATTTTAGACACAGTGGACGAACTTTTATGAATCTAACTTCGTTTTGAATTTTATTTATGTTGAAAAGCTGCAAATGTTTGCAAAGCGTAAAGGGTGTACGCAATAAATACTAACCGCACGCGTGTATTGTCCTGTGTCGGCTGAGAGAACTCGTTTGATATGGCTTAAGAATGAATCTCAGTCTGACGGTCTATCAAACACGTTCTTTCAGCTGACGTATGAAGTTTTAGGACCAAAAACCTACGTCATTAGAAATGATGCATGTGGTGAATTTGAGCCGTTATATTTGACTGTACTGTGTCTTTTTAATCTAGACATATTGTGGAGTTTTCATGCAAAGATATATAATACGTAAAGGTCAGCAGTATTTTAGAGTATTATCGCTTTTTAATATTTGACCCAAAGCGATGCTGATAACTTGAAACACCTCAACCGATGATCGTCTGAGGTGTTTGATGAAATTATACGTCATACAATACCCAAAGATTACTGATTAGCCGATAATCTGCTGGGGAGGGGTACACATCATCATTCACCTAAAGGTTTTATTACTACAGAATTTAAAGCAAAACGAACCTTCGTTCGAAGCGAAAATCCATCATGGCGTCTGAAAATTTCCGAATTACATCGACGACATAGGTTGTAGGAATGCATGAGTATATCCCAAAAAACAAAGCCGAATTTAAGACCGCGTAAGATATTGAAATAATTTATTAATAGGTCTCATTCAAAGATAAAGTCCAAAATGCATCAACTATATTCTCTAAGTCTGCAATTTTAGGAAAACTACAAATGCAGTAATAAACTTAGTTCGTATCGTATGCGGGAACTTCTCAGATATTTTGGTATCGTTGTAAGACAGTGTCCCGGGTGTTATTTCTTTATAAATGTATTATACGTACATCAAGAAAATTACTATATTTTAATACAACAATATTTAATGAATTAACACTGAAAAAATGATCAAAATATAGATCAGGTACAAAATAGATGTCGTGGAAAAATTTTAGATAAATACCATTTTATGTACTTGCAAATCATCTTCTTCATATCAAAGATGGACAGAAAATACCAAGCAGAGAAAACTGAAGTTTGTGTATTACAAAATTAAATTTTTTGGCAAAGCTTTGTAAAAAGTATGTGAATGGTTAAAATTAAATCACGACAAAATAAAAGCTATTAGAAAAAAACGTAATTACTTTTGTATTCACGTGCTTCGACAATTGCTGTAAACATATTTTACGATATAATATTGTTTTTTATTTATTTATTTTTATTTGTTAATATTTTTATAATTATTTGTAATCATAAACATTTGATTTCATATTTTACAAGATTCAAGTCAAGTGTCAAAGACGAAATATTTCTCACTAGATCTTCTGAATTTTGACATTCATTCTGTGTGACTCACGGGCTTCTCTCTCTCTCTCTCTCTCTCTCTCTCTCTCTCTCTCTCTCTCTCTCTCTCTCTCACACACACACACACACACACACACACACACACACACACACATGACCGAAGAGACAAACACTGAATAGCTGAGTAATAATTATTTTAGAAGTGTTGCCGATATGTTCATAAAATTTCTATTTTGAAAATTTCAGTCTCAGATACTCTAAACTGACACAAAGGCGTTTCGTTCACTGACGTTATTCATAACGCCAAAGTTTCCGCCTGATGTGTTCACATCAAAGAATCAATTATTTTGGTGCTATTAAATTCTCGTTTTATTTAAGAAATGAACTTCTCAATGTGCATGTTTCATGAAGTCTCAAAGCTTGAAAATCGATTATATTCTGCACAAGCAGCCCTATGGGAATTACCTGCATGTACAGTAGTTTAAAATCCATTTGGGGACAAGGAAACATTTGTCATCAGTTCTTAATTATTTTAAGACTATGATCTATTTTTTCCTAGTGCGTCATTATTGTTCAACTATATGGATATTGGGGAACCAATCTAGTTTGCAAGTATTTCCTATGATCGATTTCTTTTTAAATTATGTATCATAGTAAATATGTTATGTGGAACTATTCTATTTCGGAATGATCAGCATAGATGTCAAAGTATCTTATGAAGAAGCCACCATCAATTTGTAACTATTATCCTCTAAAAGGAATCGCTCAGGTGGCCTAGTGGTTATAGCATCCGCCTTGGAAGCGGGAGGTGGCGGGTTCGAACTCAGCCGAGTCAAACCTAAAACAATTTTTTTCAAAAAAAAAGTGGTACTAACAGCTGCCTCGCTTAGCTCTCAGCATTAGGAGGTTAGTGTTAGAACTGGTTGGCCTGGGGTCAGGTTAATGTGAATGGATGGGCCATCATGCCACATGTTTGCAACATTATGCTCCAGTGCTAGACAAACCTATAAACTGTCACACTGCAGACATCGTAGCGATATGACTGAACAATTGTTAAAGCTACGTTAAAAGTCTAAATCACTCACACACTCCTCTTAGAACAAGATCCGTTTCCTAGAGCATATCTGATCTTTAATGTGTTTATAACTGGTGTTTCACTTGTTCTTATAAGGAAATATTTTAACTAATGTCATCCACACGGACAGACGGATGATTGATGGATTGGTTAAGATGGTTACATTTTCCAACTTTTGTTGATGACTCTAATGTATGTGGATAGTACTGTGAACGAATAGAGTACGTTGCTCAGTCTGAAAATTTAAATCAAGTTTATATATGAAGTGGGGAAAAAATCCTCAGTTATTATCAGGAACGTAGTAGTTCATTATATCATTTTTAAAGCAGTCACGTTGATTTTAAGATGAACTGCGCAATAGGTGAGGCATCCTCTACCGTATTGTTCACGCATGACTGACTATGATCAAAGCTTTTCCGCAGAAACAACATTTACGAAATCGCCAGAACTATTTATAGACTAGTTGATGCTTTTTACGTATCGAATTTCCATGCCGTGACAAAGGAGCACTGTGGTCTAGTGTCACAATATACATTTTGTCATGGATACTGGAAACATTTCCATCATCACCATTAACGCATGAGCAGCTTCTCTGAGAATCATTAGAACCTTTTATCGTGGTGATTGAGATACGGACGAATAATTAGTAAGATGTATTCGTTGTGGGTGACAAGCTTGTAAGCTTTCTTGCGAAGTTTTAGAATTTGTGATTGAATACAAATTTTAAAAGATGGAAAACATATTTAAAGGTGAGGGAAAGTAAAATATGAAGATACTTTTTTATGTACGTAATCCGAAATTAACAAAACAAATGCGAACAATCACGAGACAACTTAATTTTTCTGACAAATAACAAGAGGATGCGAAGAATATCTGCTTAATGAATGTTTGAATCTGATACTTGATCATTTGGAATAGAAAGTCATGTTTCAGTTCATTCCAGAGAACTTTGCCTATAAGAACTACTATCTGGGTAGTTAGAATGGCAAAACGTTGTATATATGAGCTACAATTATTGTATGTACTAACAATGCAAACATCGCCACAGATAAAGAGCTCATGTCCAATCAAAACATACATAAATCAGACCTGTTCATGAGCATCTTTACGAACAAACAGCATGTTCATAAATTGAATTGAAATTTATAAAAATATGCAACTATTTATCATTTTTTTATTTTGAACAAAAATAAACTTTAAAGCCAAATGGTCCGTGGCACGCTTTATTATCTCTAATGCAAATTAAAACAAATACACACCTATATAGTAGGTAAAGAATAAAGTTAACGTTAGCATAACAACAGCTCCTTACCCTGAGTGAATACGTTTCAACCTGCATGTAGACATGCCAAAATAATATATTTGGAGTGCGATAATTTGACAAAAGCATTATATGAGTGCAAAAGCATAATTTAAAGAAGATTTATTATAACGGCTCGATATAGTGATTAAATATAATGTATGTTCACTTACTTGTCATATTGGACATAAATCTATCATAAGAAGATACTTTCAACAGAAAAAAGAGAGCTAGTTTCCAATTCAGGTCGTTCGTAAAAAAAAAATCGGAGTCCACTTTTATCACATTTTGGAGGAAAAAAATGTCCATGAATAGGTCATAAACAGTTTCATTAAGTATTTTCCAGAAAAATGTAATTTTCAATTTTCATTATTTTTTTATTTGTCCTATATGATGTATTATTTTGTGTTAACAAAGATGTTTTTCTGTATCATTGCGGAAAAGTAGAATACACATGTTCCATCCATTGAGCGAGAAGTCAAATTGTGCAATATATTGACAATGTAATTTTCATGGTCGATGATATCCTCCAGTACGTCATTGAGGCATGAAACGTCATCTAGATGAAAAGACTTTTAAAATGTATGCAATAGAAAATGTAAGCTAATTTAATGCATTCTGATAAAAAAATGTAAGCTAATTTAATGCATTCTGATAGAAAATGTAAGCTAATTTCATGCATTCTGATAGAAAATGTAAGCTAATTAAATGCAATAGAAAATGTAAGCTAATTTAATGCATTCTGATAGAAAATGTAAGCTAATTAAATGCGATAGAAAATGTAAGCTTAATACGTCTTAATACAGAATAATTTCAATGCACTGAATCTTCTGTAGGAATTCAGAATTGTTGATTTAATGCGTCTGTTGTGGTTGTTTCAATGAATAAAATATGCAGTTTTAATTTCAGCCTTGTACGAGTCTGAGTAGAAAATATATTTTTTAATAATTTGTTCGTGGAAAATGAGCGGAACATATTTTTCTAACATATTAGTACCTTGCTTGCTTATTGTGCAAACATTCAAGGACTTGGATATTAAAACATTTCGTCGGATTACGTGAAACATTCAAAGTTTTGCGTCATTCACTTTCATTCCTGCATTTACCTAGAAGAAAAATATTCGGATAATAGAACAGTGTTTCTTCAGTGGTGCTAGCACATAAGCACATCAAAACCTACATTCAGAATAATTTTGGATCGTTTCTGGATTACTGTGAAATTGAGAGTACATTTAAAAATTAAAATTGAAATTCATACCCAAGTTATTTTTAATTATTTCATATTGTCTGATTTTATATTTTAGGGAAATAAATGTATATTTAGGATAATTGAATAATTGTAGGATTTATCCAGTTTTATTATATATAGTCTATGACCCTTGGACATGATATATTTTCATTATCGCATAATAAGAAAACATTTGCATTCTAAAGGATTTTTCTCTGCTACTTTATTTCGTTTTAAATAACATTAAAGAAAATTACCGCAATTTAAAATGCTTTACACGGTTTAAAATTTTATCTCTTCTTCTCGGTTCGTTAGTGTAGTTTCCTTAATGACCTTATTACTTACTAAATGTATTGACAAACCAAAAGCACCTCCATTTGTAAGAATATATTTACTCACTAGGACTTAGTTAAACCATTGACAACGATCTTTTAAGATAATGGGATTCGTTGATTCATCTCTAAGTGGTGTAAAATATATATCTGGTAGGTGCATGGACATAACTTTTGCTTAATTATATCAATGGTAAAGGTTGTTCAGTTCACAGCAAATCGTTCAAGAAAATGCATAATAAAGGAATACAAAAAGGCATAATAAAGGAATACAAAAAGGCATAATAAAGGAATACAAAAAGGCATAATAAAGGAATACAAAAAGGCATAATAAAGGAATGCAAAATGGCATAATAAAGGAATACAAAAAGGCATAATAAAGGAATACAAAAGGCATAATAAAGGAATGCAAAATGGCATAATAAAGGAATACAAAAAGGCATAATAAAGGAATACAAAAGGGCATAATAAAGGAATACAAAAAGGCATAATAAAGGAATACAAAAAGTCATACGAAATACAAAAAGGCATAATAAAGGAATGCAAACATTGTATTTAACGTTAGATGTTACAGATAATTAAGAATATACATGAAAAGTTATAGCCCCGAAAAACAGTCGACTCAAAGCAAATAGAAGCAACAGGAGGATTGTTGGCATACAAAATATATACATATTATACATATAGCACAGCCCAATTACCTCACACTGATACATATAAAAAATAAAGCATAGAGGCATTGTCTCAATGCTACATATGCATAAGTCATATAGGCATTACCAAACACGGAAACATATCACACATAAGTCATAGAGGCATGGTATATATCACACATAAACCGTAAAGACATTACTAAACACTGAAACATATCACGCATAACTCATTAAAACATTACTAAACACACACACACACACATTCTGTAGTAGAATCTTGATAATAGTGGGCAGAAATAATAGTTTAATACAAACAATACTATCATACAGGTTAAAGAAATTAAATTCGTACCCTACGGAGTTTCGAACCCATGTCCGCGAGTAAATGGCACCAATCGCCTTGCCTGCACGCAGCAGCCCATATACCGTCACGACTAAGCATGCATCACCAAAAAATGATGGCACTGAATCGGTGTTATACAAGCTTGTGCGTAGCAGACACACTCGCATGACGACCTAGTAAATAATTCTTATATATATATATATATATATATATATATATATATATATATATATATATATATATATATATATATATATATATATATATATATATATATATATATATATATATATATATATATATATATATATACACACACACAGTCGTTCCAGATTCCTATGAAAGAAATCAAGGTATATAGGATTTTTATATTACAAATAATTATAAATATATACCAGACAGAACAGAGTGTGCTATCCCTGGATTCTGTAGTAGAATCTTGATAATAGTGGGCAGAAATAATAGTTTAATACAAACAATACTATCATACAGGTTAGAGAAATTAAATTCGTACTCTACGGAGTTTCAATTATTTATAATTATTTGTAATACAAAAATCCTATATACCTTGATTTCTTTCATACTATTTCATATATATATATATATATATATATATATATATATATATATATATATATATATATATATATATATATATATATATATATATATCACAAAAAAGGCATTACCAAACACTGGTACATATCACACATAAGGCATAGATACATAAACATACGATTGTACATATCACACATAAGGCATAAAAACATTACCAAACACTGATGCATATCACACATAAGGCATTACCAAATACTATTGCATACCACATACAATGCATAGAGGCATTACTATAATCTGTTACATATGATACATAAGGCATAGAGGCATTACTATAATCTGATACA